TAATTAAAAGATTCGAATCTACGCGTCAGAACATTCCGACCCGCAAATGCAAATGTATATCCGACGGCTATAAGTTGCAGTTGAACAGCCAACCAAAACATTTCCGAGGCATCATTCCAGTATCTAAAATTTGCACCCTTCTTTCCCCTTGTTCTTTTATAACAGAAAAAACCAACCATCTTTGCCAGCCGAGCCAGCTCTCCCCATAGCACTTGACAAAAACAAACCAACTCTTCCCATCTCCAAACTATAACTTAAAGCTTTCTCTTTCATTCCCTGAAAAATCCTCATCATCCTCCCAGCAACGTTAGAAAGGAAATTGAATTCCCGGGTTTTCTTGGGTTTTTGAATTCCTTTCTGGGTTGCTGGCAAAATTTGATCATTTGTACATTGGCATTAAAAAGTTTGTTTCTTTTTCATTTTTGCCGGAAAATCCCATTTCGGGGGTATAAGGGGGCAGGGGACTGAATTTCTTGGGATTTATTGGGGTTCTGTGTTCCGGTGGCGGGGTGAGAAGAGGGATTGCTTAGTCTGTGAGATCTCAGAGAGATGGTGATGGCTGCATCGCCAAGGAAATCAATAAATACGGTGTTTCAGAGGGTAGGGGTGTATGGATTTGGAGGGAGCAGCCAGAAGAGAGCCAAGTATGACATTCAAGATGAGGATGACATCATGGAGATGGAACAGATAGGTGCTGAGAGGACCAAGAACGTGTTGATTCTCATGAGTGATACAGGTGGTGGTCATAGAGCTTCTGCTGAAGCCATCAGGGATGCGTTCAAGTTGGAATTTGGTGATGAATATAGGGTGAGTACCATTTTTGTGGGATTTTTTTTTACCAAACTCTGCATAAAAACTCATCTGTGTTCGTGCAGCCTTGGCTTTTGGAGATTGTATCGTTAGTTAGTTTATCTAGATGATCCAATTGTCGGTAACTTTGATCCTTCCTCCAGCATGTTTCTGATGTCATGAGTTGTGTTTTGCAGCGCGACTTTGCTTTTCTTTTTTTTTTTTTTTTTGAGCAATGCTTTGCAAATTAGGGTAGTTTTTAATGCAAATGAGTATGCCTTTGTATAATTTGCCCTGCTAAATGGCCGTTTTATGTGCTTTAAGTTTACAGGCTATACGGTTAAGATTCATGCAGATTTTCTGGCACACAATAATTCGAACTAATTGCTACCTGCAGTTTCTATACGTTGTTGCTTCCTCTCTCTCTCTCTCTCATGTAATGTAGCAACGAAGTTTCCTTGAAATTGGAAGCATTAATGTTAATGTCCTTTAGTCCTCCTGCCCGGATCCTTTCGGTTGCTTTTGGAAGCTTTCACCATGATCTGACAATTTTGACCTTTTCTGACGACTAGTTGCACTGCTAATCATAAGTTTCATCAACTCTTTATCCTTACACGAGTTTATCTTGTTTTAATTTGCTCTGATTACAGATTATCGTGAAGGATGTCTGGAAAGAGTATACGGGCTGGCCACTGAATAACATGGAAAACCAATACAAGTTCATGGTTAAACACGTGCAGCTCTGGAACGTTGCATTTCACAGTACCTCTCCTAGATGGATACACAGCCTCTATCTTGCTGCGATTGCAGCATTTTACGCAAAGTATGTTGATGTTTCTTTTAGTCTTTTCCATGTTGCGTCACAGCTTGTGCCGTTGAGAAGATTCCCATAAATAGTTGCCTCTCTGCTTCGGTTTGGCCACCCGCATGACTCTGTCAACCCGTTTGAACTTCTTGATTAATATGTTCCACGGCCCCCGCCACCCCCTCTGTTTGATGTTTCTTGTCAGAAACTTCTTGTCTTTAATTGATCAATTACAAGTTAAAACAGTCAGTTAATTATTAACGTGTAATCAATCAATTGGCCTGGGCGAAATTTAATCATGTGTGTCATCAGAGTACATTATTGGATTTATTTAGTCCAGAAGAGTAGTGAAGAATTATTGTGGAACGTTCAACTGTCATTGGTTGTTCTGATTATTAGTTTGCTGTCTAATAATGCAGGGAAGTAGAGGCCGGCCTAATGGAGTACAAGCCAGACATTATCATCAGTGTGCATCCACTTATGCAGCATATTCCTTTGTGGGTTCTTAAATGGCAAGGCCTACAGAAGAAAGTGATCTTTGTAACAGTCATTACTGACCTCAATACTTGCCATCGCACCTGGTCTGTTGCTGTTGTATGTTGGACATAAATTTTATCCTTGCTTCCTGATATGGATTCTTGCATCCTAAAATCCACACTTCCTTGTGTTTAGGTTTCATCCAGGAGTAAATAGATTATACTGTCCGTCAGATGAGGTAGCAAAACGGGCTCTGCTAGATGGCTTGGAAGAATCTCAACTTCGCGTCTTTGGCTTGCCTATCAGACCTTCTTTTTGTCGTGCTGTTCTCTCGAAGGTGAATACAGTAGCCCAAAGCAAAATTTCTCATGTGTTAGTCTGTTCTCGTTTTTTCGTTTTTATTTTTTTTAAAGAAACAAACAAGTTCAGTCGGTACTTCCCACTATGAGAATTTGGGAAGGCGCACATACTTTTGGTTTCACATATAAGAATTTGTACTAGTTTTTTATGCGGTTGTTCTCTTTCTGTAGGATGACTTGAGAGTCGAGCTTGAGATGGATCCAGTTCTGCCAGCAGTTTTGCTAATGGGAGGTGGTGAAGGGATGGGCCCTGTGAAGAAAACCGCAAAGGCTCTTGGAGAAACCCTGTTTGATCAAGAACTCAGCAGACCGATTGGCCAATTGATCGTCATATGTGGTCGTAATGAAAACCTAGCCAACACATTAAAATCGCTTGAATGGAAGATCCCAGTTAAGGTAGGCGAAACTTGAAAAGTGTTTATTAACCTGAGTGAAACTGAAGTTCTCAAAGTAATAGCTACAATTGCCGATATAGGTTAGAGGATTTGAGACGCAGATGGTGAAATGGATGGGCGCTTGCGACTGCATTATAACGAAAGTAAGTAGTGCTCGATCTTTGCATTTCATATTGTCTTCAACAATCAATCCAATCTGATCATTTTTCAATTACTTTGGAGCAATGGTTTTATGCTTTAATTTCTTGAAATGTAAAGGCTGGACCTGGTACAATTACAGAAGCATTGATCAGAGGTCTTCCTATCATTCTCAACGACTACATCCCTGGACAAGTAAGGGATCAAATTCAAGTCTTGGCTTCTTCTCTTATTAGTTTAGGGATGTATCTTCACGCATTAAGCTTGGTTTTTTTACTCTGTGGGTGGCAATGCAGGAAAAAGGGAACGTTCCATATGTAGTCGACAACGGTGCGGGGGTATTTACCAGGAGCCCCAAGGAAACAGCCAGGATTGTGGCTGGATGGTTCACCACCAAGACGGATGAGCTCACGAGAATGTCAGAGAATGCTCTGCAACTCGCAAAGCCGGATGCAGTTTTTGACATCGTGAGGGACATCCATGAGCTTGCTTGCCAAAGAGGACCCATGGCGAGCGTCCCCTATATGTTGGCATCATCATTTTCAGAACTAATTTAACCTGACATCGTCATTTAGCAAGTTTTCGCCATTATTGAATTTGCTCTTGTAGGTTGCCTTTGTGTACAGGTGCAGTAGTCCCATTGTCCTCATTCTTTGGCCTTAGAAAAGGCTTGGCCCGCTTTCGAATTGTACTAAAATTTTGCTAGACCAGCTCTGATCTTTTGTTAGTCCCACCTCCAAAGAGGAAAAAAGAAAGTGATTTTTAGGCACGAAATGGATTAGAGTAATCTATTGTAGTGGCGGGTTCATCCATTTGGTGGCTATCAAGGAATGCCGATTAAGTTGACTGCATTTCTTAGTAAAGGGAGATGCAAACTCTTTTGGCCTCATTGGTGAATTTTGTTCCCTCGATGTAGAAAGGCAAAGCAATATCTAACGTGCCTTTAAGTCATTTGGGGAATGAATTGCTTTCAAGATTGGATAAACTTGGTTGATCCGGCGAAGTAAAAGAGAAGAAGTTGGCAAAATGTCCGCCCGAGATGCTTGCTGAACGGCCGGCTGTGTGCTTTGTCACCAACTTGCCCACCCCATAAACTATGCCCTACCTGTCCATGGATTGCGACTTCTTTCACAAAAAACAATGAACTGAAGAAACTGCAGAGTTGACCAAACCAGAAAAAAAAAAAAAAAAAAAGTGCTCCAACTATTTTGTTCATAATTCTTTTAGTATGGGTAGGTCTAACGAATATAATGCCAAATTTGTCTGTTGCAATCCCACATATATACTAAGGCCTTGTGCACAGGAAAGGTTGGTTCATCAGTCATCTCAATATATTATTATTATTATTATTTTGCTACTTTTATTTTTCTTTATGCTAGTATCTACTAATCACAAAAAAAAAGTCATATGAGAATATACATGTGAGGTAAGCAATTGGAAAATTTCTTGTAATGATACGAGTTGTGTGATAGCCAATTATTCGCCATCACATGGGATGGGAGCTCATATTATCAAATGCTATTTTATTAAAAGGTTGTAGATTAAAGTTATCAATAGTGTAGGATAAAAACATGATATGATAAAGCATTATTGAGAGGCTTGGAAGACATTCCCTATCAAATAGGACGGTATTCAAGAAAGCTCTTGGAATTTCTGGAGGTGGTGGGAAGCATTGCAGGGTGCTAGAAGCAGAGTTAACGGCATCAGTCATGTAGAAGCCACAATAAACTTCTTGTGGCAATTGTGGATAGCCAGAAATGCCTGCAACTTCAATAAGGAAAGCACAAAAGGTAACCTGATTTCAAGTAGAGATCTAGAAGAATGGTTGGAGTACAAACAGATGTGGGACTTGGAGAATGGGGAAAGCAAAAATGATGAGCCAGAAGTGCCAACGAGGACCATCACAAAAGAGCTCCAGGATCAACATGCCATTCTAATGTTCACGGATGTAGCAATGGACAATAAGAGAAATAGAGGGGGATTGCAGCAAAGGACCATAATGGAAGACTGGTCAAAACATGGGCAATCCCTACTGGAATGATGAAAGATGCTGCCATATTAGAAGCTGAAGCAATCAGATCAGCCATGCTCAAAGCTCTGGAAGAATGGTGGACATCTCTACTCATACACTCAGATTGTAAGTGTTTAGTGGATAGAATAAATCACAGATGTATTGGATTATCTCTGTTAGATATGTTGGTAGATGATATCGTACATCTTAGTCGATCCTTTTGGCGATGTTCCTTCATATTTATTGGAAGGGAACATAATCGCACTAGTCATGGTTTGGCAAAGTTTGCCATCAACCTAATTGATGAAGCAAGGTGGGAGCTGGACTTCCCTGTGTGGCTTAAGAATGAAGCCCACAAAGATGTCCTGGCCGTGTGCCAGTAGTATGTATATGCTAGGAATATTGTAACTTTCATCACATATATATTAAATGATGACATTTTGACAAAAAAAAAAAAAAAGACTTCTTTAAGAGAGTGACATACTGTTTGGACGTTTTCAAAATAATTACAAGTGTGACGGCTGTATAAACGGGAGAGGGGATTACTGTACTACAAGTCTATAATGAATTTTACACGTTATGGATTCCAAACCTAGAAATAGTATCTAATTCACTCTCCTAATTTCCTGTTGCGTTGCTTGGGGCATAATTCTTTTGCCTTGCTACAATCTGTATTGGTAGCAGCGTATGAGGTACTCCTTCCCTCGATTTCATTTTGATAGTTTTGTTATCCTTTTTAATCCGTCATAAATTATAATTCATTTTTCAATTGAAAAATATAGTTAATTTTAAACTTCTTTAAAGTGCCCTTATGTAATGTACTTTGTTATCAATGAATATAACTTACTTTATTCATTAATTACTTTGATTCATGCCTTAAATAGTGCAACTTTTTATCAATATTATTGTTACAATTAATGTAAAGATATAACGGTTAGTTATACTATTAATATTAATGTAAGAATATTTAAAAAAAGCAGATTATATTTATTTTTTTAATAAAATTAATTAATTTTTCTTAAATTACGTGAAAAATATATACACCATCAAAGTGGGGATGGAAGAAATAGTAAACTAACCCATGTCCAACAGAGCCCACGGTGCGCCATAAGCCCAGAATCCTCTGTTTCCACTTCTCAGCCCAAAAAAGCCGCACAGGATTCAATTTGTAGCCTTCCAAGTTCCAAGGCCAGACCAGCCCGACACTGAAAATTGTGTCGGGTTGAATGCTTACTCGTCGGGCTGACTTCTGATCAACCACCGGTTACCCCTTCTTTATCAGACCAGAATCCAGATCAATGGTGAGATACTATTTCGATTTCTAGATGTCATTCTGCGATAGGGGTACTTCTGCTAATGCTATTGATTCTTGTTGATATTATATACTAAGAGATTGTGTCAGGTGTCGTCTTCTTTTTATTTTATTTTTTAATAGCTAATTAATAGAGAGTAGGTAGTTTATCTGCAATAGAAGAAGGGGTCAAGAAAGAATAACAAGAGACGAATTTCTCAGTCCCCGAATGGATTGAGAAATGGTGTGTCATAAAGATCTTATCTTGGCTAGGTTAGAGCTTTCCTTCGTGGGTCATTGCTAAACCGCAATAGTTGTTCACAATGCTGAACTTTTGTTCTTAGTTTTTTTTTAATTTGAATAAGACAATGGGATTACGATGTTTCTTGATCATCTAAGGCTCACATTACATTAGGAAAAGTTTAGATTGTCTCTGGTTGGTGATATAAAACATGACTTTAAAGCTGGACAAGTTGGTATGTGGTAAAGCAATATGATGTGAGGGAGATATTGAACTTCTTGCAGCAATGAAGCTAAGGGGTTATTGATATCACTATTATATTCTACTTCATTCTTGATTCGTGGTGCATCCCCTTTGCCTCCTGGATTGTGTTTTCTGACTTGGTGTATAAATTTTCATGATTACCTCAGGAAGCTTAGGGAATGAGTTTGTTCTCATTTGTACAAAGTGCTTAATACCTTTTTCTCTTCTTCTTATTATCTTGGTTTTCATGCTTTTGCAGCACTGTTAATAGATAGCACATCTTTCGGATTTTATACTCAAAGTCCGCATTACTTAGTTTGCCAAATTCTTTTTAGTTTTTTGTTTGATAGAACACATATACTGAGGCTATATGTTTCACATTCAACTACTTTTCTAGTGCGTAGTCTTAAGTTGATAGTTTGTATATCAGGTTTATGGCTCCAGCTTTGTTGATGAGGAAGGGATTGCCAAAGCTTGTGGATGCCCTCTTCTTCCTCTAAAAAGTCACATAAAGGGACCTGCTCTAGTTTCAGTTCAGGGTTAGAATTTCTTTGTTTTTCTGGTTCTTTTAGGGTTAATAACTTGCTTTCTTTATTGTTTAATCAGTATTTTAACTCTTAACTTCTGAAGTATTTCTTATCTTTAACATATGCAGACACCACTGACATTGTTGACAAAGCAATAACACTTATTAGAGCTAATGTCTTCTTCAGAACACCTCCTACATAAATGCGGCTTTAGAAAAGCAAGAGGCTGCAGAACATTGGCTGAAGGAACAAAGGCAATTATTAACCTGAGTCTGGAACAGGTTTCTGTGCCCGGAGAGTCCGGCTTTCCCCTTCCATGGTTGTTTACACTACCACAATCTCAAAAATCAGCAGGTAAGATTTCCCACAGCTGTTTTTGTAGGTTCGTCCTCTATTGCATGCGCCATGTTATAGTGGCAAACTTGGTTAGTGGTAAAGAAGTTCAACGTAACACATCTGAACTCCAACTGTTAAACTTTGAATGTCTTCAGTCCCAGCGTAATTCACTTTTACTAGAGGGTGATCCTAAAATTAGGAAAAAAAAAAAAAAAGGAAGCATGAATAAGCAAGCTATGTCTAAGTTTCGTGGTAAATGTTTGATTTTGGGCTGATCAAGCATATGATGACAAGATGAACGTTTTGACTTGACGATGGATAATCATAATACAGACTTATTCAGAAATTATTTGAGGCCAATTCGTGGAAGACCATTGAGTGTTGCATACAGACACAACAAGACTCCTAATAATGGTGGTTGACATTTGCAAAGAGAAAGTTCATGAATGAATATTATTAACGCATAAAGAATTAGCCCGAGTGTTTGGGTGTCGCCGAGTGCTGCTCAATTGCCTGCATCCCCCACTTACCTGCTGTAAATACTGTTCCCGTGAAGAGCAAGGATTGATGGACAACTTTTTGCTTAGCAAGAAGAATGCAGAATCTTTACGTGTATGTTATCATTTTGACATTTCTTTTAGTTAACTGTTGAATGAAGATATCCCACTGGTGACTGAACATAGGCACTACGAGTATTGGCTGCTTTTCGGAAAAAAGAGAAACAACAAATAGGAGGAGAAGAGGCCTGCATAGTGTCTTGTTGCTGATTTGTTTGCCAATCCTGTTTATAAAGTGGTGATAATTTCCTGTCATGCCAATCCTGTTATCTCAATCACAAATGCTCATGCGTTTATATATATATATATATATTATTATTGATTTCGTCCAGTTGGGGAGGTGATTTGCAATGATGAACAAGAGTATCACAGCTTGCTGTCTGATAGTTCAAAACTTCTGTACAACCGACTGGACTAATAATAAATGTTCCCTTCTGTCAAGGACATTTGCTGATCAGAAATCGGTTTGTTTGTGCTGTGGTGATTTGCTTCATTTAGTTCTGCAGGAGAAGATTCGTTGATTGAAAGGGAAAGTAATAAAACAAGAGAAAATCATTAGTAAACTCCAGTAATATCCCCGTGACTATTTAGTATCTTGTCTTTTACTAGTATTTTGTTAGCAAAGCTGTCTTTGAACAAATTCAATTTTGACATTTGGATGCTCGATATGTGAATCATATGATCGTGTAATTGTATCTTGACGCCATTTCTTCTCTTCTTTTCCTTGTTTTTCTGGCTGTAACTCTTATTTTGAGTAAACAAATCTAATACAACTCTAATTGCCTTCGAATTGGATCCAAATAAAGAAGCAGAGCAGACAGTTGGCCCCAGATAATTGTCATGGCTGTTAAATCCGTTTAGAAGTCTAATAAGTAACAAAATCCTATGTAAAAGATGATACATTAGTTAATTTTGTTCCATAATAATTAGTGCCATGCTGCCTGTGGTAGAATTAAAAATCCAAGATTCAACAGCCGGATTGCTTCTCCAAGATTCTTGCTGGTAGAAGCAATCAAACAGTACTAACCCAAAATTCTTTTCACACTTGCGGCCTTCAATAATCAATCTCTTCCTTCCCTTCCCTCTGCGGCCCAAACCTCCCTTTAAAAGACAGACCCAAAAAAAAAGAAGAGAAGAGGACAACCAAAAGGGAATTCGCTGTCAAAATTTCCTTCGTTCCAGTGTGCTAAAACGAAACAACACAACAAAAGGAAAAGGTAACGCCCCAAAGAAAGAACAAAGGAGGAAAAGTAGTACTGCTAAGGTAATAGACGGATCTCTCTCAAAAGTCTCAACTCATCGTCGTCCAATCCAACATGAGAAACAAACCATAACCATAGCAAATCCAGTCTACTTCCGCTCCTACGCCATCGCGCCACCATTCTCTTTTCCCATGAAGTATACCCATCTCCTTCACATTCCCATTTTCTTATTACTATTGCTCCCTCCTCCGGTCCTCCTCCTCCCCCTCAACTCTTTCCCCTCTTCTTCTTATTCTTCTTCACCAAATGTCATCATCACCCAAATCCTCTCATAAAAATCATCGAAGCCACTTCCCTCTTCAGAAATCCCTTTTCCAGCAAAACGCTGCTTTCCCTCATTCAAGCCCTGTTCATACCACGTCTAATAAAACTGCTAATTCTTCTTACGGCAAGCCAATTTCTGCTAGTAATAATTTTGCTGGTGACTTCAATCATCCTTGTCCGCATTTATTGGAGCTCCGATCTAAACTTGGACCCAACCCCTTTCGGAACCTTCAAGACTGCCTTGAGGTCCGCCCCCTTGGCCGGGTCTCCGTTCGCCGGGAGCTCGGTCAAGAGGTTGTGCAATGCGGCGCCTGTAAGGCCTCGTCCCCGAGATTGTTCGCATGCGTCGCCTGCGCCGCCGTCTCCTGCCAGCTCCACGCAACTTCCCACGCCGCGCAGGCGGACGACAATACCGGCTGCTCTTCTCCTTCCTCCTTCCACGCCATCGCGGTGGATGTTGACCGCGTCGAGCTCTTCTGCTGCGTCTGCAAGGACCAGGTCTACGACAGCGGCTTCGACGCCGCCGTGGTCCTCGCCCAGACTGCCGCCTCATCCGCGATCGGCTCGATCCACTGTCCTCCTCCGCCGGTGCCGGCAGAGAATCTTCGGAAGCGGCGGCGAGTGGAGTACAAGCCTTGGACGCCTGATCCGAATGAGCGGGC